AAAGTAACTCAAAAGTAGTGTAATGCATTACAATTCAGAGAGAGTAATATTGTAATGTAACTAATTACTTTCAAAAGACAGTAACTAGTAATATATAATGTATTACATTTTGGAAGTAACTTGCCCAACACTGCTCACAACCTAGTGAGCTGCCTACCTAGACAGCGTTTTTGGGAATCATGCTGATTCCTTTGAACGTTCCAAAAGCGCACGAAAGTTCCAAAAACGCGCAGAGCTGTCTATATAGGGATCTCACTATGTTTTGAGACGCAGCCAAGTGTGTTATATTCCACCCTGAGGTGATAGCGTTAATGTAGATTTGTTTAAGATTGTATCATTGTGTGTTGATGTGAAGAAAACACTGCAGTCTCGCCTCTGCGACACCTACGAAACTTTCCCCTCCACCCTTACAAACACTTACAGTGGAAACCACAGTTATTACACTCTAAAAAATGCTGGGTTAAATACAACCCAGTGCTGGGTAAAATAGGGACAAACCCAGTGATTGGGTTGTTTTGACCCAGCGTTTGGGTTAAATGTTTAACCCAACCTTCTGGGTAGTAACCCAACCGCTGGGTCAAAACAGCCCAATTGCTGGGTTTGTCCCTATTTTACCCAGCACTGGGTTGTATTTAACCCAGCATTTTTTAGAGTGTACTGTAAAACCCTAATAAATGGACATGGGGCCTCTTAATTTAACGGTGCAATAAGTTTACTTTTTACTACGTGTCTAATGCCACCTTAAAACATTTTTATATAAAAGTAGCCTACTGTATTACCATAGTACAGTAAATATATAAAATGCCAATACCATGCTGAATGACATATTCATACTATGGCATTTATATGGTAAGTAAGGAGTTTCTAAAGGGACGTGGTGATGGTATAAAAGTGAGGAAAAATATATTTCAATGCCTTTGTGTTTCCCAGAGAAACTACATTTAAACTAAAAAACTTGTGTTTTCTTGCCAAACTTTGTACACATCCAAAACTTCTGCATTCCCCCTTAAAGGCAGAGTAAGTTATTTCTGGTAGCCAATGTTGATATTTGAAATCACCAAAACAAACACGCCCCTACCCCAAAAGGGTCTTGCCCCTATTTTGATAGCTCCGCCCCACATATACGTACGCAACCCAGGCACCGTGTCTACACCGCGCGAATACTAAATTGAGTTCTCTTCTGCTTTTTTTGTGCATGGATGAATGAATATCCTTGGCGAATATCCTAGTAAACACAGTCGGTTAGGCATATGTCTTAACGTAAACAGTTGAGAAAGAAAAGGCATGTGTATCCGTAGGCCTATATTAAATCCGTGCTTTCTTCTTAAAGTGAAAGCAAACTAATAATAAATCTAATGCTGTCAAAGAAAAATACAAGTGCTCACTGCTCCTGACTAAATAACCTTTTGTAACATCAAAAATGATTAATCTATATTTAATTTATACATTGAAGGCTATGCACTTATTTGATTATTACATTTCTGTAGCGTACCTGAAAATTGATTTTAGACTGAGCTGAAAAACCTGAAAAGCACTGTTTATTGAACTTGTGTCTTTGCATTTATTTTCTGCTATTGCTTATAATTTGGTTATCTGTAGAAAATATTTTTAGCACTGAGCCCATAGTAGCAGCCAGAATTATTTTTCCAATTGTTTATTTTCTTTATTAGGCTATTAAAAAAAAAAAAAAGTGTAGGCCTATTTTTTTTGTTGTGAATATCCCAATTGAGGTACAGGATGTGAAAATTTCAGATAAATGTTCATGTTATATATTTTGATTGCATTTGTGAGTTAATAAAAATGTAGATGGTTGTTTAAAATAGGTATTAATATCATAATATCGAATATATCTATCGATATACTCCTGTATCGAATCGAATCATAGAATTTTTTGAGGTATCGACAAATATCGTATCGCTGGGTATGAGAATCGATATCGTATCGAATCGTGACGAACCATCCGATTTACACCCCTAAGCACAACCAAATAAAGAAACGCGCTGCAAAAACAGAAACATGCTGCAAATACTCACAACACAAACAAATAAAGA